CAAGTTGGATGCGGCCCAACACGTTGAGCGAGAAGAAGAAGACGCAGACTTGATGAAACTGATTTAGGAATGAAGGGCTAAAGTTTGCGAACATGATTGTGGACATGAAGGGCTAAAGCGGTAAGGTTTATTGAAGACACTGTTCCAGGCTGCAGGGGATGACGCATATAGTGGTATGACACTTATGTGGCAAAGCGATATTCAACCATACATGAAGAGCATAAACATCTTGAAATGAACGCTTTGCCGAATGAGAAAAATCATGATTTTTGCTAAATTCAAAACCCTAACGGTTTCCGGTTCTCTTTTTTCCGGTTCTCAAGGGGAATTGCGCTGACAAACACAGCCGCCCAGGACGTCTTAGCCGCCCCAAACCGCGACCGCCGGCGCCGGGCTCGCGCTCGCTTGGTTCACATGGCCGGGTCCTTGGCAAAGTGCAAATGGGTGTAGCAGCCGTCGGCTAAAGATTACACCAGGGTGTTCCCAAACAGTTTGACGCGTTGAGTCTTCCAAGACGCGCTGGTGACTTTGGCATTGATAGGAAAAGCAAAGTCAGCTTGCGCTCGAACCCTTCTACTGACACCCTTTCGCTGGGACCCTCCACTGGAACCTTCAACCTTTGCTGGAACCAGTGCAGTTGGCCAACAACGGTTAAAGGCTCCAATACAAAGGCTTCGAGATGAAAACGAGACGATTCCAGATGAAGTTTCCAGTAATTTTTCAGCAAACCAATGCCAGCAAAAGGCGCCGGCAAAAGGATAGAAGGTCCCAGCAGAAGGTTCCGCGCAGCTTCCAGCGCAACAGGTTCCAGCGGAAAGTTTCACGTAAAGGTTCCAGAAAAGTGCAGAGGGTCCCCCAAAAGGTTGCAGATGGGAAAAGATTCAGAAAAAAGAGGGTGTGGAAGATTGAATTCCACGTGTCAGCTTAATCAGCCATCTACTTTGGCGCATGATTTCTTCAGCTTTCCCTCTGCAGTGTGCGTTGGTTGTAATTTCACACTCCTCGACCCTTTCACATTGCCATGGCCAAGTCATTCTTTTCTTCGTTAAACCAACAGTCGTGAAACAACCGACTCTGGCCCAGAGGTTGACCAACGTCTAGACCAACAACAAGCAAGGCTTGAAGCGGCTGAAGACCTGCTGGAGGAAGCCAACAACAAGCTGGAGGAGGCATCCTGTCTGAGTTGTTCAAGACCGCAAGTGGCAGAGATTATGGTCGTATGTAGCAAGTAAAATTATACTTGTGTCATCCATGGCTGGATTTTTAGAGCTTGCATGGTGATTCCGACAGGCCAATGCAAAGAACGCGTCGACCCCAGAGGTTGCGACGCATTCAGGGGTCAGCAGTTTGGATATGGTACCCCGCGCGTGAGCGTTTGATTTGCTTTATCATGGGTCGGTAGCAGCAAAGTTGCCACCATCATTGCGCAAATGATGTGTCGAGAGTAGGTCGGTGAAATCAATTCCCAACGTGGAAAATCCAGCAATTCTGCCAGTCTAGGATGAGTTGCTTCTCAGTGCGCTCAAAACACACGAAATGATTGATCAATTTTTCTCATGGTTTGGAACTTGAGCTATCAAGCAGCTGGCAGTGCTTAGATATAAAATCAAAGCGGCCACTTTTTCGGTGGCCGGCAAGATGTGCCCAGTTCGCCATTGATTCTTGCATCTTGCCCAATCCGTTTCCGGATTTGTATTCGATCCAAGATGGTGTGAGTCTTCCTTATGTTGCAATAACCTTATGGTTTTCTACCTGCTCGCGTTCCTGCATCTCTTGGCTTTTCTGCTTTTCGCGCACCTGCGTTTCTTCTCTTTCTTCTCTCTGACGAGCTGTTTGCTCCAACTTTCCATAAAAGTCGGAAGTTTGATCCTTTTAAACTTGCACGTAAAGTTATTTTGACAATTCCCAACCTGGAGGTGCAAAATGCCACACGCCTTGAAGGATGCACCGAGCTCTGCATTAATGCTTCCCGGCGCACGGCTCAGAAACTTCGCCAACCCAAAATTTTCGGCTCAGCCACAAGCTGAAAACATCTTGCCAGGCTGTTGCACCACATTCGCTGTCCTAACTATCTGAAGAATCCAATGCTTGCCATTGAAACCCATGAGACATGTGCTGGCATGAGATTAGCATGAGCCCTGCACAGGATGACACGCACAAATCTGTGCATGTAGGCCTAAGCCATCTGGCTCCGACCTGGAAAGACAAAAGGTCGCCTTGCATTTGCCATTTGACTGCGTCTTGGCAATTTCAGTGGCACCGGAGCCTTGCATCCAGAACCTGCTCTACGGCGCTGCGCACTCTGCATTGCATTAGCTCGCTGTTCTTTGCATTGCACCTTGGTCTCTACATCCCTGTCTAAGACATCCTTGTTGCCGAGACCTTCAATCCCTTTTTCATTGTTGTGCTAGTGGAATCATTGTCTGGCCCTACGTCACTTGCTCCTGCGGATTTTGTGATTTTTGCTGTGGCTGGAAATTGGTGCCCATTGGCAAAGCTTTGGAACCCTTTTTGCACCAACTAGGGTGCTGAGTGGCAACTAGGCCGCTCTTTTTGCTGAGTTGTGTATCACTGGCCATTTTGGCCCCGTCATTGGCCATTTTGGCCCCGTCATTGGTCATTTTGGCCCTTGCAGCGTGTTTGAAGAGATGGCCGATGAGGACAAAGGGACTTCATCTTGGTACAGGGTGCCAGTGTGGTCAGGAGATCCCAGTGAATGGAGGGGTTTCAAGAGAGAAATGGAATGGTGGATAGCCTCACTAGACCAAGAGCATAGCCGAAAATACAACATAGCAGCACGTTGGGCCCTTCGCCAAACAGGTGTTGTTCGTGCAAGATGTGAGGAATATGATCCATCTGAGTTGGTTGGCACGGCCGAGGTGATTGGCAAAGACCCTGAATCAGGCGAAGATGTGATTCTCCAAGCTGCCGATCCTTTCTCAGGACTCAGAAAGCTCATGAGGTCTTTGGAGGAAAGCATGGGAAAGACAGAACTTGATAGAAAAGGAGAACTTAGGAAGCAGTTCTACCAGACCATACGTAGAAGCCCTGGTGAAAGGATCTCAGCCTTTTGTACGAGGTATCGTACGCTCACTGGCGAAATGCGGCGAGAGGGCATTCATTTGCCTGGTGCTGAGTTGGGGTGGTTCTTGAAGGACCGTCTTGGGCTTGATGCGCTACGTCTTCAGCTTTTGGAGACGGCTTTGGGGGGCAGGGAGGATTACGACCATGTGGAAGGTGAAGTGCTCAGGCTTTTCAGAGATTTGCATGTTTCCGACCCTTTGCACAGATCAAAGCCCCAATCCTTTGACTCCCACAAGTCCTATCCCTTGCAGCGGTTCCTTCAGCAATCCAATCAGCCAGCCAGCACTCGGTCCGGGCCTTCATCAAACAGTGGTGCATCAGTGAAGTCATTTCGGACTTCGAGCAGCTATCGTTTCAGTAAGCCTGGATCAGTAAGCCTGGATCCTCTGCTGGCAGTGCGCGTCAAGCCTATGTGGTTGAGGACCCCGAGGATGATGCTGGTCAGGAAGAAGAGCTCCTTCCTGATGATGCGGCTGAGGGCGCATTGCCCAGTTTGGATGAGGTGCTTCAAGCCGAGGCTGAAGTTTTGGCAACAGAGATCCAAGAACTTGAAGAATGTGGTGATGTCGACCCCTCCATTTTGGAGAACCTGGAGGAAGGAGTGGAAAAGGCTGCTGAAAGCCTTGTGACTATGCGGGAAGCACGAGCCCGCATCAACGACATCAGAAAGGATCGTGGTTTCGGCCGACCTGGAGCTGGAAGCAAAATGAAGATCCACGGCAATCAAGTTCAGAAGAAAAAGACCTCAACTCAATGTTGGGACTGCGGCGAATTTGGACACTGGGGTGGTGACAGCCAGTGTCAGAAACCGGGTGCCGGATTGTTCAAGCCGAAGAGCGCTGCCAAGAAACCTCCATCACCGCAGAAACATGTGAAGGTGATGGAAAGCTTGAACACCGAGCACGTTGTGGACGATGGCGATGACTCCCACGAGGTGATGATGGTGCATCATGATAGTGTTCCATTTGTAGAAGCCTTGGTGTCCTCAAAGAAGGAGCAGCCATCGGTCCCAGGTCTTGCAAAAGATAAAGTGCTTGTGGGTGCATTGGACTCTGCCTGCAATCGCACTTGTGCTGGTGATGTTTGGCTGCAGCACTACCTCCAGACCCTTCAGAAGTGTCCCCAACACATCCAATCCTTGCTGATGACTGCTGAGGAGAATGAGATGTTTCGTTTTGGCAACGGGGGCACTCAGACAAGTCGGATTCGGTACCGACTGCCGATGATGATTGGTGACAATTTGGTTGTGGTTTGGGTGAGTGTTGTGAAAGTGCCAAGCCTTGGACTTTTGCTTGGACGTGATTTTTTGGATGGCATTGGCGCAGTGATTTCTTTTACCAAGCAGAAGCTCCGTCCTGACTTCCTAGACGGCAAATTGATTGACCTGTCTCAGGTTGCTGCGGGGCACTTTGCTCTGAAGTTGATGCCATACACCTGGCCAAGGCTCGAATTTGGTCGTTGGCGGCGGTGGGGTCAAGACGGCATTTTGGAGCAGCAGATGTCATCTCAAGATTGGTTTAGCAAAAAGTTGTTAGTGTCAGGAAAGGTGAAACTGAAAGTTGATGGACATGAGCATCTTTTGACAGAACAAGGGATTCGTGCAGCACAGTTTTCACATGATCATGTTCCTCCACGCTTGTCTTCCCTGGTTCAAGAGATGACACGTTCACGTGGCTTCACTTCTTCATCAACTTCCTCTTCAAGTTCAGGAGCTCGAGATCTTCTCGCTTCTACTTCCCGATCACCTTTGCGACCGACAGCGATATCCTCTTCTACCAGAACTCACCATGGAATCAAAGAAGGTGAAGAGGAGCGCCACTGCCGTGGCCGAAAGGTGGGCCAGAATGGTGATGCGAGCTGCCGCAAGAGCCCGCTGGCACGCTTTGGGATTGCTCTTATGGCTTGTGCAGCGGCCTATGCTCCGTTTCTTGCCATTCCCATATCCTTCAACAACAACTACGGAGCAGTGGCAGAAGCAGATCAGCGACATGATGAACGGTCGCATTTGGCCCATCAAGCATGGCAACTACGCTCTGGCCCAGAACTTATGTACGGCTCAGAGTCTCCAAGAATGCAGCCAATTTCGAAATCGAGTTGGTTGGAAACTAGCCTTTTTGGAGGACCCTCTTCTGGACGGCATGATCGCGGCTCGCTATATGAAGGGCCAAGCAGCAAAGATCCGTCAAGCCGTGATTCAAGAGGCAAAAGCAACAGCAGACCGCCTCGAACAAGATCAAGAACGGCTGGCGGCGGCTCGACAGTTAGTCGGACCAAAGGGCGGCTTGCCGGCTTTGAAGGGAGATCTCCTGAGGCTTGCAACCTTGCTCAAGTTGGACGTCCACGACAAGATGAAAGTGGACGAGCTCAAGGAATTGATCCGCCCAATGATCGACACCTTGAAGGGAGCTGGCCAACCAGAAAGCCATCGACCTGCACCTTCGTCTCAGGTGCGCCCAACTCCCAAGTCTCCTCCAAGATCGGCTCCAGCGGCAACTCCAATCTTGCCCAGTCAACCTGCCGAAGTGGCTTCTATGAACGGCATGTTAGCCCAAGACGTGCATCAGCTGTTGGCCGAGCAAGAGCGTCGTTTTCAAGCCATGATCTCGCAAACCTTGCAGCACATGATGTCCATGCAGCAGAATCCCATGTCTCAGACGACAGCCGCAGAGGCAGTACGAACCTTCCCCGAGATCTACCGGATGACGGAGGAAGAGATGGACGAGATCAATGGCCTGCATCGGAACGAGCTCATGCAAGAACGGATGGAAGTCATGTACGGCGAAGAACTGGACTTCATGTCAGCCGAGGAGCTGCGGACAGCACAGGAAGACTTGTGAGCACTGACCTTGGACTTGGACTTTTGGGTCAGAAGGCAGCCAACTTGGATTTTAAGCCCTCTGGACTTTTGGGGCGAAGGGGCGATGGATTTCGTTCCCCTGGGGTCGATGGACTTCGAAACCCCGAGGCTGACCTGCTCTCTCAAGTGAAACTTGATGCAGATGATGTGAAGAAAGGACAAGCCCAGTTGATCGCTCAGGCTTGGCAGAAACATCAACGAGATCAACGCCTTGTTTCCCATGGGCATGTCCACGCTGTGCTGAAGGCGGAATGGGAGAAGGAGATGGAGAGAAATCTCAATGAGAACTTTGTGACCTCGATCACTTTGTCTCCGGAACCTTCCGACCCCAAGCAGGGTGTCCTGGTCTCCGAAGTCTTCACAGCGGTGCAGCGCATCATCAAGGAGGCCAAGAAGAAGGGACATTCTGTGGGCTCAGCGCTTTCCCTTGAGACAGGCTGGAACTTCTTAAACAGGCTTGATCAAAAGGCCTGCAAACGAGTCATAGCCAAGGAGAAGCCATATTTGCTAGTGCTTGCCTTTCCATGTGGACCTTGGTCGGCTTTGATGAGACTCAACCCTGCCCATGACCTGGCTCAGAAGCGAGCTGAAGGCATTCAATTGATTCGCTTTGCCTTGGAGTTGGCGGAGGAACAGCTGAAGCAGGGTAGACACTTTTTGTTGGAGAATCCTTTGACAGCTGAGTCATGGTCTGTTGATGAACTGCGGCAGTTTCTCCAACGTCTTGAATGTCATCAAGCCATTTTTGATCAATGCAGGTTCAATTTGCGAGGCAATTCCGGTCTTCTCCACAAGAAGGCAACCAAGATCGTCACAAGCTCTGAGGCCATTGCTAATCGTTTGGATGGGAAGCGATGCACTCGTGATCATCCTCATGAACAAGTTCTTGGTGGCAGCAAGATCACTTCAGCAGCTGGTCACTACACGAAAGAGCTGGCCCGCGAAATCATCAAGGGCATTGAGGAGGAGTTTGAAAAGCAGTATGGTGCTCGCCGGAAACCCAACAATGTGCTGGCCGTTGAGGGCGGTGACCTTGAAGATGACCTTGACCGTGAGATAGATCCTGCGGTCGAAATGCGTGACCTTCACTGCAGTGATGATGAGATCCAGATTCCTGAAGCGCAAGTCAGGATCTCAGCAAATGTAAAGGAAGCAGTGCGCAAATTGCACTGCAATACGGGTCATAGATCCAACAAAAGGTTGGCAAGAGCTCTGGCAATTGCTGGCGCTCCCAAGGAAGCAATTTTGGCAGCCAAAACCTTGAAGTGTTCGGTGTGCCAAGAACATCGAGCTCCTAAAGCTCGTCGTCCAGCAACTCTTCCGACTCCCAAGGACACCGGCGATCAAGTTCACATCGACATCTTCCAAGTTGAAGACATTGCCGAGAACAAGTTCTTTGTGGTCCACGTCATAGATGCAGTGAGCCGTTTTCAGATGGCAGAGCTTCTTCCAGACAAATCTGCTGACTCTGTGGTTGCTTTCATGAAGAAACGATGGATGCCGATCTTTGGGCCGGCCAGAGTTTTGGTGGCAGATCAAGGAAAGGAGTTTGTCGCTTGGAAATTTGAAGAGATGGCGGCTCAACATAGCACCTTGCTGTACCACACTGCAGTGCAGGCGCCCTGGCAGAACGGAGTTTGTGAGAAAGGTGGTGGAATTTTGAAGGCCATTCTTTTGGCCCTTGTCAAAAGCCAGTCCTTGGTGGGCAAAGATGACATGGAGCTTGCTGTGCAAGAGGCAGTCATGGCCTACAACGGGGACATGACAGATGCTGGTGTGACACCCGCTCAGGCGGCATTGGGCAGACAGCCCAAGATGGTGGGAGATGTCCTTGGAGATTTTGGCCAAAGACTTGCAGAACATGGTTTGGTCGAGACACGACCCACCATTGCACGTCAAGTTGCGATGCGTGAAGTTGCGAAGCTGGCAATGCTGCGCTTACATTTTTCTCGTGGCCTACGCCGTGCTGAATTGGCAAGGTCCCGAACACCCACGGTTCTTGAAGCCCAGCAGTTCCAGCCCGGCGACATTGTTTACTACTACCGAATGAGTAAATTCAACAACAAGACCAGTGCTTCAAAGAAACGTTTGAGTCTCAAGCGTTGGCACGGACCTGGACTCCTGGTGGCATTGGAAGGTCATAGCAATTGTTTCATTAGCCACAAGGGCCAGTTGGTGAAAGCAGCAATGGAGCATGTCAGACGTGCATCAACCATGGAACAGATCACTTCGGATGAATGGGAGCTTGCAATCCAGGATGTGGTTGAAGCTGCCGTGAATGACCAACGACAACAAATGCCTTTGGAAGTTGAGCCTCCAGTTGAACAAGTTCCAGCTGTTGCTCCTTCTGAAGAACAACCTCAACAAGCAGACGCTGGTGTTTCCAGTGGAGTTCCCTTGCGGCCAAGAGAGCTTGTGGCTGCAGCTCTCTCTCAAGCACCAGCGGCACCCAGTTCCAATCGAACAAGTTTGATTGGCAGTTCAGCAGCAATTGGCAGTGCCGCTCCTGGCACTCCTGTTGGCCATTTGTTTTCGACTTCAAGCAGAAGAAGCTCTAGAGTTGAAGCAGCCATGGATCGCATTGCGTCTGATGAAGCAGCTCCTCCAGAAGTTTCTCGAAAGCGAAATCCTGATGTTGACCTCCAAACTCTCTATGAATCGACACCTCTTCGAGCTGAAGAGCTTCCTATTCCTGAAGCTAGTGTGGAACAAGCTACCGAGCACGACGCTTTGAACGTGTTCAGGTTGGCCAATGATGGACAACATCCTTTACGGCAGATTGCTGAGCTTGCAGCAAAGGACCGACTTGATCCTCTTGAAGCGGTCGCTGAAGACCACGGCAGTTGGGATGGCAGATGGCCGTTACCAAGTCGATCTGAGTGGATTGCTCATGGAAAGGCCAAAGCCCTTTGGCCGAAAGGAAACAATGAAGTTCAAGCAGCGACTGCCCGCAAGGAGTACAAGTGGAAAGAAATGACCAATGAGCAGAAGGCCCAGTTTGAGGTTGCAGCTCAAAGTGGATGGCAAGTTTGGGTGGACAATGATGCGGTGGAGCCCTTGACTGAGACGGAAGCGGCAGAAGTGAGAAGCCGGTTGAAATCCAAGGGTGAGATGCACAAAATCTTGCATCCTCGCTATGTCTACACGGACAAGCACGATGGACTTCGAACCCCATCAAATCCACTGCCTGTAAAGGCATCAGCGCGTTTGGTGGTGCCTGGGTATCAAGATTTGACTGCCCACAATGTGAGAAAGGACGCTCCTACGTGCAGCAGGATCAGTTTTCACCTTTTGCTGATCTTGACGAGTTCCAATCTTTGGAATTTGCTGTCAGCTGACGTCAAGGCGGCTTTCTTGAAGGGCGAGTTGTTTGGTCCAGAAGAACGCGAATTGTTCATTGGGCAGATTCGCTCTAGTTGTCAGGGAGAACCTCAACTTCCCCTTGGACTTGGTCAGCTGGCTCGCCTTCGAAAAGGGATTTTTGGTTTGTCCGACAGTCCAAGAAGATGGTACCTTCGACTACACAAGTCGTTGACTGCACTTGGCTGGGAACGATCTACGATCGATGCAGCAACCTGGTTCCTGTGGTCAGCAGACCGCTCTTCGTTGGATGGCATGATTGTGAGTCATGTTGATGATTTGATGATGGGCGGGAATGCCCGTGCGGAGAAGTCCTTGGAAGCGTTGGGTGCTGAGCTTGGATTTGGCTCACTTGAACGTGGCAGCTTTGTTTACTGCGGTAAACGGGTGACTCAGCATGCAGACCATTCAATCACTTTGGACATGAAGGAGTACCATGCGAACTTGCGCCCTGCACCTCTGGCAGCTCACCGCAAGCAGACTCCAGATGCTCCTTTGACCCTTAGCGAACAGAAGCAGTTGAGAGCTGTTTTAGGTTCTTTGCAATGGTTAGTGTCCCAAGTTCGAGTTGACCTAGGGTTTAGTCTTTCCACGTTGCAAGGGGATAAACAAATAGTTAGTACCCTGATGAAAGCTAACTCTTTGGTTCGCCAAGCAAAGCAAAACTGTGACTTCGCACTGCGCTACGTCCCTATGGATCTGAAGCGTTGCGGCATACTGGTGGTGAGCGATTCCTCCTTGGGAAATGTCACCAAGTCTGGTTCTGCAGATGGCGATGTGGTTGAGCGCGTCTTCAGCCAGTCGAGCTACTGCATAATGCTGGCGGATGAGAACTTGATGAATGGGCGTCCTGGCAAGTTCAACCTGATTGAGGCGAGAAGCCATCGCCTTGGACGGGTGTGCCGTTCGACCTTTGCGGCCGAGTTGCTGGGAACAGAAGAAGGGCTCGATGCAGGGCAGTACTGCAGAGGAGCCTTTGCCGAACTGATGGGTTACCCATTGGATCGCGAGATGGCCGAGAAGAGCATGGAGCAGATCCCAATGCAGCTGGTGACTGACGCCAAAGATAACTATGACAAGTGCAATTCTGATACGCCGACCTATGGCTCACAGAAGAGCCTGGCATTCACCATCGCCTGGATCAGGCACATGCTCCGAAAGGACAGCACCAAACTCGTTTGGACGGCCACGGACAACATGTTTGTGGATGGAGGGACCAAGTTCATGAAGCTTGACCACATGGCGCGGATCCTTCAATCGAATGAGTGGTGCGTGACTTTTTCACCTGGTTTTGTGAAACAGCCGGTCAAGAAACAGACCAAAGCTGTGAGACCATCCGATGCTTTGCCCGTAGGACATCCTGTAAAGACTGAGGATCCTATTTTTGGACATTTAATTGGTCTCAGTGACCAACCTGGATGGCATGACAAAGGTATGTACAAAGTGCATGTGGCCAGAAATGCTAAATCGTACAGAACGCCAGAACCTAGGTTCCAAGCCAGCAAGTTTCCAATTAGAAGCACCTATGCAAAGTTCATTGATTCCAATGGACATGGTGAATGGAGACAGTTGGAAAGCCAGAAGCCTTATACAGGATTGCCGAATAGACATGAGGCGATCGGCGATGTGGCTTCCATTTTGGTGACTGCATACATGCCATGGGTTTCAAGTCAACAAGAAAATTTATCCGCTGAAGAATCCAATGCTTGCCATTGAAACCCATGAGACATGTGCTGGCATGAGATTAGCATGAGCCCTGCACAGGATGACACGCACAAATCTGTGCATGTAGGCCTAAGCCATCTGGCTCCGACCTGGAAAGACAAAAGGTCGCCTTGCATTTGCCATTTGACTGCGTCTTGGCAATTTCACTATCGACAGCGAAGATTGGCGCGCGTGCATGAGGGCGAGGCCAGAAGCTTAGATGCAGATTCGTAGCGCCCGCTAGCAGTCGCCAAAGCAAAGCAGTTGAGATGGCAGGCCATTGGTTTTTCCCTGTCCTTTGGCAGTTGGCGCGGGGCTCGGAGCCTTGTGTGTCTATGCTCTTGCGGCGTTGCCAAGCCATGTGCTTTGGCGTCACCGTGACGGCGTCGCCGCAATAACAAGGCCAGAAGTGACTGATGCCGATGTCCAGGCCGGGCGTGTCTCAGAGTGCATTGAAATATCACTCGATGGATGTTTGGTATTGAATTTGTTTCGGTCGTTTGGCGCTTCGATGGCCCGTGGCGCATTGGAGATTGGATCGTTGTTTGGAGCCAAGTTCGGGGGGTGGGAGCTTGGTTGCTGGAGCACCAGCTTGCGATATCGATTTTCAGCGGCGCTTATTTTGGCTTCCCTCCCTGAGTCGATTAACAAGAAAGAAGTCAGGGGCAAGTCAGTAGAGGAGAGGCTCGAATGACAGGTGCAAATTGTGTTTGTGCTTGCGGTGCTGGTTGTTATTGTTCGTGTTAAGGTGTTAAAGCTGCATCCGCTTCTCAAACGCACTAGGCCGTCTTCAACGACCTAATAATTTGACAGGAGATCCAAGCGCTTCTGCGCGCGCGACCTCTAGTGCTGGAGGCCAGGGCTGCTGTTCTGCTTGCGGCGTGTCCCTTGGCAACTTGATGCGTTCCCCAGGTTGCGGCGCCGCAAGATGGGTGACTCGTCGGGATTAATTTTGGGGTCACCCATCGAGCTTAGAAATTGCGGCCCAGCTGCGACCAATCCACAGTGTTTGGTGTGCATCATGTTGGCTGACATTTATCACTAAACAGCACCATTGAATTCCGACAACACAATTTATAGTTACGATGATGAACCGTTGTTAGTATATTAAACATTGCCAGTGGTGTTGAGCCATTGTGAATAGGATGAATCATCATTCCTGACCATCACTATTAGGCTTCACTTTTTAACCAGCACTACAACAACCATATCTAAAACCATCAGGATCCAACGAAGATGCGGTAGTATGGCGGTGCTTGGTTGAACATGTGGATAGCATGGTGGTTAATGTTGGTTAATAATTAATTAGATAGTTGGTTGTAGATTTGATGCGTTGAAAAGTTGCCCGCATACACAAATTATTCAGCCAGGAGAGAATGAAACGGCGCCCCGTTTTTAGATCATTACGCGAAAATGTGAAAGTTTATCCCAAACAAAAATCCCTTGGCAGGGGGTTCAAGGGGTGGTGCATGGAAATTTGCGTGTTTTAAGAGATTGTGAAGATCGATGAAGGTGGTTGAAAAGGACGAACATGCTCACGTCGTGTAGATCTTATATTACGCGCACTTTAGTCACTTAGTCACTAGTCGCTTCACTCAACGTTTTGTTCTCTTTGATGCCATGATTTTGCAACAGGGCGTTGCTTTGATGGCTTGGATGCATGTCACTTATTTGGGTTTTTGCTGTTTGGGCAGACATTTGCTTGGAGTGGAGTGAATCTTGTACAGACTGGAAGGTAGATTCCCCTTCAGGACCACATTGCAGTGAACACTGTCATTGATGTGCTGCTGCCTGAGAGCCTTCCAAGGATCACTTGAACCATCTCTATGCCACCATAGAAACATCAGTTGAACCACCATCGAAACATTGACCTCTTGTCTTTCTCGTGTCTCAGATATCTCAATGTATCTCGGTGCTATTTCTCCTGAGTGTTGGCTGAGCATTTCTTGCTTTTCAGATTCTCCGTCTTAGGTCTGATTGGTTTTTGAGGACACTGGATCTTGGTTTTATCCAACGCAGTGAATAGGGAAGCGCAGTTTGGCCGTTCTCCTTGGCTGGTTTGGATCGTTGATAATGTGATGACAACATGACAGCGCTGAGAGACAGCTCTGAGACAACTCGTTTTATTTTGCCAGCCTGTCTTGACTGGCAATGTGGCACGCAAAAATCACTTTTTGAAGTCAGTGGCCTGCACTCTTCAAGATTTCTGGCAAGACTGATGAAACCTTTGGCTGAATCCGAAGATTCAGTGTGAAGCCGGGGGCAGTACTCAGTTTTTCTTCGCTTGAATACGTTCCAAGGGTCAGCGTGAAGCCGCCGTTCCCAGTCACCACTGCGGCTGCTAGCAGTAAAACAGTTTCGAAAAAATCAGCTCCCGGGGGAAAACACCATGCCTCTGAAGGACGAGCTAGTTCCAAAACCACGCCAAAAAACTCCCTAACATGTCGTCCGAAATCCTAGAAATCAACATTTTTCGAGAGATTCTGTTGCCTGCAGCTGCTAGCAGTAAAACAGCTTCGAAAAAATCAGCTCCCGGGGGGAAAACACCATGCCTCTGAAGGACGAGCTAGTTCCAAAACCACGCCAAAAAACTCCCTAACGTGCCGTCTGAAATCCTAGAAAAACAACATTTTCCGAGAGATTCTGTTGCCTGCGGCTGCTAGCAGTAGAACAGCTTCGAAAAAGTCAGCTCCCGGGGGGAAAACACCATGCCTCTGAAGGACGAGCTAGTGCCAAAACCACGCCAAAAAACTCTCTAACGTGTCGTCTGAAATCCTAGAAATCAACATTTTTCGAGAGATTCTGTTGCCTGCAGCTGCTAGCAGTAAAACAGCTTCGAAAAAATCAGCTCCCGGGGGGAAAACACCATGCCTCTGAAGGACGAGCTAGTTTCAAAACCACGCTAAAAAACTCCCTAACGTGTCGTCTGAAATCCTAGAAAAACAACATTTTTCGAGAGATTCTGTTGCCTGCGGCTGTTGCTAGTCCTCCTGCTGCTGCTGCTGCTGCTGCTGCTGCTGCCGCGCCAGAAGCCCCTGCTGCTGCAACTGCTGCTGCTGCTGCTGCTGCTGCTGCGGGTCCTGTATTTGCTGCTGTTGCTAGTCCTCCTGCTGCTGCTGCTGTTGCTAGTCCTCCTGCCGCTGCTGCACCTGCTGCAGCTGCTGCTGCTGCTGCTGCAGCTCCTCTATTTGCTCCTAGTAGTAAAACAGCTTTGAAAAAATCAGCTCCCGGGGGGGAAACACCATGCCCCTGAAGGACGCCCTAGTTCCAAAACCGCGCCAAAAAACTACCTAACATGCCCCTGAAGGACGAGCTGTAGCAGCAGCAGCAGCAGCAACAGCAGGAGGAGCAGCAACAGCAGGAAAACACCATGCACCATTATTCTTGTTCTTGTTGTTCTTGTTGTTGTTGTTGTTGTTGTTGCTGTTGTTGTTGTTGTTGTCGTCGTTGCTGTTGCTGTGCAACCTCTCTGCCCTAACGCGCTTTCCGGGGTCGGCGGATTTGTCAAAAATTGGCTGCTGCTGCTGCTGCTGCTGCTACTGCTGCTGTTTCTACTGCAGCTCCTGCTGCTGCTGCAGCTGCTGTTCCTCCGGCTGCTCCTGCTGTTCCTCCTGCTGTTGGCTGCTACTGCTGCTGCAGCTACTGTTCCTCCTGCTGCTCCTGCTGTTCCTCCTGCTGTTGGCTGCTAGCAGCAGCAGCAGCAGGAGGAGGAGGAGTAGTAGTAGTAGTATCTAGTTTTTCGTGGCTGCAGCAGCACCTATTTCGTGGCTGCAGCAGCTGCAGCAGCACCAGCACCAGCAGCAGCAGCAGCAACAGCAGCAGCAGCAGGAGGAGTAGTAGTAGTAGCAGCAGTCGTAGTAGTAGTAGTAGTAGCAGCAGCATTTCGTGCCGAACCTAATTTCGAAAAAAGGGTCAAAAGTCTTATTCCCTGGCGCGCTCCCCCTTGCGTCTGCCGGGGTCGGCGGATTAGACACCAAAAATGGATGATATTGATGATATATATATATACATAGTTTGGCATGCTGATCGTGATTATTCATTATTATATAGTATGTATCTGGTTGGTGGTTTCAAACATTTTTTCCATTTCATATATGGGATGTCATCCTTCCCATCGACAAACTCCATCATTTTTCAAGATGGTTTTTTAACCACCAAGCAGGCATACTATGGCCATGTATTGGGATGGGGTCAATACCCGGCCTGGTAAACTAACACAAAAAGCTATTGAAAATGGCCATAGAAATAGTTGGTTTACCAATTAAGAATGGTGATTTTCCATAGTTATGTTAGTTTTAGTTTTTTGTATGTTTACCAGAGGGTACTTTATTGAAATCCTATGAACTTACAACTTTTAGGGATGAACATCCTGTACGTCTGGGATATGTAGATGACAACAACTGTTGGCATAGCTTAAATCAGAAGAACAACAAACTAAGGAAAATCACATCTTGAGCACTACCCTTTGGTAATCAAACGTGGCAATGGGAAAGCCCCCAATTATAGATGAGTTTCCATTAAAGCATCCATTAATAGGGGATTTCCCAGCGAGCCACGTTTGATTACCGGAGATTAAGTTCAGAGCCAATGTTTCACAACATCTCCCTGAACTGAAAACCTCTATCAATATTGACTTGAGCAATGGCTCAACTACCCCGTTTGTTGATGATTAGTTCTAAGGTTATACTAGCCATATTGGTGATTATCATAATCCACAAAAAAAACTCATTAACCAACCATTGTTCTCAACCCTTGTTTTTGTTGACATTTCCCGTTTCGACCGCCACTGAGGATTCCTTCCTTCAACGATACACCAGTCGATTTGCGCGTGACTTTGGTGAAGGCCGAGTTCGCGGTTGCTGTCTGTTCTTCACCATCCCCCGGGTTTTTTGGATTTCTACGCATGAATCAGCGGTGGTGCCACTGGAAGTTGAATTTCGTTGATCTCGTTGATATTTTTAGAGCCTTGCTTAATACATCTAAATATTTGTTAAAAATATATCATATATAATATTTGAATGTATATCTATGTGTTTTTTTGTACTAAAAAAATACGTATTGTTTCCAAAAAAACATGTTGAATTTTCCCGCAAATTCAACCCCAATTTGGGAAGTGGTGCAACATTCTCAGCCGCCATGGAAGGTTGAATCCTCATGATTTGATATGATATTTATATATATGATATATATATACAGTCATCAAAAAGAAAATGGACAAGTATATGTGAATCCCTAGTAAAATGATGATAAGTTGAAGCTTTTCTATCTTTTTCCGGGGTTACCATCCGGTCAAACCTGGAAAATCCCAAATGACCTACATGATATAGTCTAGTTTTAAGATGTTTTGCTTGCCAGAGGGTGCCATCAAAAAGCCAGGATTCAGCCAATCCCAATGCCATTCACTCGTCGCGAGCGGAATGCTGAGCCGAGGGGTCCACCGGTCCTGGGGGATTTTCAAGCCATGTTTGAGGACACCGTTTTGGGTTTTTGTCGTTTTAATGGCTGTTCTAATAGGAAACATGATGATTAACTGATATAGATTTAGAGGTACGCTATTTTCAGACAAAGCCCTTTGGTAATTGATCCAGCACAAAAGGGGCCCCCATTGTATGATGTAGACGATGTAGATGGCTGAGGCAACAAACTGTGCATTGTTTGGAGACGTTTCCACTTTCCACTGTTGTTTGGACTTAAGTTTGGTCAAGTGAAGTTCCTTAGATTCTGCAGCTGACATGAGCATGAGTCGGGTTCTTCTGTTGATTCTACTATAGTTACTATATCATATCCCCATATTGAATGCAACAAATTACCAGAGGGTAAGTGGTGATTAACCCTGGTGAGTTCCTATCCATTTCATGGTTTATCCCATCTATAAATGCATGAACTGACTCCAGTTACTGACCGGTTGCTAAGTTGGTTTATAGTCTCCATTGACTATAGTTATAAGTATCATAAACCATAGTTAGCTTTAGCTACAACTATAGGTACAAGTGATCCTCCAAGTCATCATACTAATTCTACCCACATTGAGAATGTCGTGCTGTCGAAGATATGATAGGAGAGATTGCAGAAAATACTGCATATACGTCATATACGCAGTGTTTTCCAGTTTAGGATTCAAAGTTTTCAGAGCCTAGGTTTTAGGGTTTAGGGTTCTAGGGTTTGGAGTTTTAGGGTTTAGGATGGTTTAGGGTTTTAGGGTTTAGAGTTTGTCGTCTGGGAAATCTCAAAACACTGGCCCTGCGCAGGTGTTTGAGCATGTTGAAGGATAATGTTTCAACATGTTCCCCGCAACCCCCTGGTTCGCCCACACGCAAACAACACATCCAAACAATATGATATACTTATCACCAGAGGATGAATGAAAACACTGGCTATACGCAGTGATTTTGACTTTAAGTTTACAGGATTTAGGGTCTTAATTTAGGGTTTTAGGTTTTAGGGTTTTGGTGTTTGTTGTTTTGGAAAGTAAAAAACTAAAACCCTGCGTAGGGATTTGAGCATGTCAAAGGATATGCGGGATTGGCCGCGGGCAAACCTAGAGGTTGCAGCGAACATGTTTAAACGGCATTTGAACCCTCCGGGCAACACACAGCGCCTGGCCGTAATTCTAGTATCAGAAGCCACAATTAATTGTATCCCATGTTGTGTATGAATATATATATATACACATCTAATATCCCCATAAACCATAGATAACCATAGTTATACCACCTACAAATGGTTTTTAACCATCGAACCTATTATCTATAGTTAACAATGGTTATCCCATCTACAATGGCTTCGAAAGCTAAAAAAAACGGTCATTAGCTAGATCTCCATAAACTTCAAGTTAGATATATATATATATATATCCCATAAACATCCATAAACCATATAGTTATCCCATCACGTATTTATCGCCAAGATCTATGGTTCCACAATCGGATCCTCGGTCGCCTCCTTTGAGGCGGTTGGCGAACCGCCCTTCTTCTTGGGGACGGCAGCCTTCTTTGCCGTCCCTCGGTGCGGCGAAAAACGCGGCGCGGCGTCGTTGTTTAAATTTAAGGCGTTTAGAAGCAGAAAGCGGCGGAAGTTCACCAGGGATATTGTATATAATATGTATGGTAAATAAACATAGACCCTGAAAATTACCAGTTTTTAATGGAAACTAATCTTCCAGTGAATTAATCTGGAGATTTTATAGTGAATATACTACCAGTTGATTTTATAGTGATAAGAATTTGGTGAATTAATCTACTATTATAGTAATAATAGGGATACTGATAACCAAAGTATATAATATGTATGGAACATGGACTATCTATTTGGTTCTTAATGAGGCTTACTGGAGATTTAAAAAAGGGAATACTGGTTTATTCACGGCCCATTTATGGTTATTATGGTTGCAAATGGATGCTTTTGCACATGGTGATTTACCATGTGCCCAACAATTTGACCCCAAAAAAATTGCCCGCCATTGTGGCGGATAGTGAGGATTTTGCCGGATCATCTGGGCTCACGGTAGCAGCACGTCTCAACCTTTTTCACTTCAGGCTGAGAAGTCTTGAGCCAAAGTTGAAATGCCAATCGCACATCAACCTCGACCCTTTGGTTTATTGGCGTTTTTTCAAACCCTTAGATTAGGAGCTTTTCAGCTCAGTACTGCGTGAACCTTAAGAACTTTACAGTCCTATACATCCTCCACCCTGTACATCATGAAATTGATCACACGTAGTTACTACCTGGCTATTGGGGATTGTGAGTTAAGCCAGGTTCGGGAAAGTTATAAAGAAAACCAGTACTTTATGAGATGGGATAGTCTTGGGATAGTGGTATTTGAAGAATAGTTCGTTTGAAACCACCAAGCAGTTTCGGAAAATGAAGCCCCTATGACTTGCACCTCTGAAAGCTGACATGTTGAAAGCCACAGGGCCTGAGATTAGGCTCTGGACTAGCTTTCAGGGCTGTGAACAATGGATGTGTGGAAACCATCCCATCTGGGTCGTTGATAGTGACCTCATCCAAACTCAAGATAAATGATGGTTGATGCTGGGGGGAGACATCAACAACAGCCCTTAAGCTAGCTCGTGCATCTATTTTCAAATTATCCAGATCACTGATTTTCCATTTTCATGAATTGGATGGCTTGAGTAAAGATGATGCGCTGAAAAACCAGTGGGCAGGTCAGCATTGGACTCTGGATGTTCAGCCAGATGAAGCCAGAACGTAGAACATGTTTGATTGATGTATGGTTTATATATATATAATCCCATAGAAATAAGCAGCTATAACTAATAGCCATGGCCAAAAGTGTGAAGGGTTTTCCGTTTTTTTTCATGTGGGATGAAACTAACTTACCATAACATACCAGAACTTTCAGCTACTAGCACCAGTCAATAGAAAATATCCCCCAAAGACGGGATTGCTATGCGTTTTTTTCGGCGATCGTTCTGGCAAATTGATGTTTGTTTGTGTCCGTCATTCCGTCGTTTTATCCTCTAAATTGGCATATCTATTTGGGATATTGATGCACCGCACCTGTCGGAATCATAGTCGTTTGGCATTTGATTCACCATAAGTTTTTGAGAATATTTGACGTATTACACTACCCGAAGTTATATTTTTCGTGGATCCATATTGAGCAGTTATTTTTGAATACTAAATGTTGGTGAGCACCAAGAGTAAATCCACTGTTTGTTTTGATCCACCATGACTTTAGTACACATCGTCTGCAAATTTGGTGAGCACTCAAGAAATCCAATGGTTCATCGTCGTGTTCACTTTGGAATTGCAATTATGTGGTGTCACTCACACTCAAAAATCATATTGATGGACACAGAATACCATCAAGTATACAAACCAAAACTATGGTTGTTTTCCAATTCACGTTTTTTGTTGTTGAATCCCCCAACTCAACGAACATATATCCATACATCTCATGTTATCCGTATTATATACCATCAAAAATCCCTGCAAAATCTCACGTTTGTAAGTTAAAACAAATTGTTGGCTATAGCATATTCCATTAAATTCCCATTGATTCACCATGAACTCACAACTAAATCCCAATAGATCACCATGAAATCATCATTCAATCCCATTAAATCATTAAATCAACGGAAAATCAAACAAAAATCCTAAAATCCTATGAAATCGTATTAACCCCCTATGAAAAACCCACCATCTTTGGTGATTTTTCTCCAGATTCGCCGCAATCTCAGGCACGAGCTGCCATCGCCTCTGCCAGGGAGGAAAGGGGATGAAGGAAACAGGAAGGGTTTTCAGTATCCCTATTATTACTATAATAGTAGATTAATTCACCAAATTCTTATCACTATAAAATCAACTGATAGTATATTCACTATAAAGTCAATGAGGATTTTTCACTTTGGGTTTCGCTTTGCGTTTCGATGTTTGACAACTGATTTTTTATAGAAATTGTCATGGAATGGCATTTTGAATATCTGATTTTTGAATAATATGGGAATCAGGCTTACATGGGATGTGTAATTGAATGTGTTGTTCTTACCAACAATGTTTTTTATTTGTAATAATATTCAATCGGATAAATTTGACCAACCAAAATAAGGATTTAGATGGGATATCAATAGGGATATTTCATGGGATTTCCCTAAACTATATGGCGAATGGCTGATATGGCTATCCTGGTTTTCATAGCAACATGGATGATCTCGGACGGTTTCATCTCCCTTACAATATGGTACAATTATATACGATTGTCTCGGTAAATAACGACCGAACCCTGTTCTCCCTCAGGAATCAAGGTTTAGTTTAGGGAAATCCCCGTTTATGGCCGCAAGATTCAGATGAGTGAAATAGATTTGCCTAGAATTATAGCTAGGCATCCCCGTATTCTGGAAGGGTTACCCTTTGGTAATCAGCTACAGGGCAGGGAAAGCCATGATAAATGGAATGGATGCTTTGATGGGAAAAACGCGGGGATGAAACCAACAATATAAAGGGTAAACGCAGATAGTGTAAAAACCGGTTTGATCTACAATACTTCCAGCTGATAGCTATGGAAAATCCACCATTTATGGATCAGTTCCGAAATCACGGGCGTTTCATACCTAATTCAAATGAATAGTCATAGCTAAGAATAAGTATATAGCATCAAAGGCCAGATTGAATCAACTACAATTAGTAATATTAGAGGGATATAAGGGATTTAGTAACGATGCCTTTTGGGAGTGCATTTTGAAACATGTGATCAAGCATCAAAGATGAAATATCAATCAGAAACATTTGAAAATGATAAGAAGAGTTCGGTGATACAACCAACATCATGGATTGGCTTCAACAAGTTGGGATTTAGACAAAAACAACCGTGGATATAACCAGCAACTCATTTTGCGCCAACAATGTAACAAACTTAACAATGGAACAAAGTTGAGATGTGAATTAAAGGTAGTTGGAACGAATGGAACAACATCTACAACCATTGGGATGTGGCCAGCCATGGAAAGTGACGCATTTGTAGATGATTTATCTACTCATCATGGCCGTGGCTTCCAATGTTATGTTAGATTGTCAGAGGCAACAACCAACAATGGAATAGGTGCGAGGGGGGTGAGAATTGGTGATAAAAAACTTTATGTGGGGTACAGGATGGGGCCTCCCAGATATGTTTGTTGGTTTATAAACCATTATAACCTCCATTAACTATAGTTATATCTAGCATAAACCAAAGTTAAGCCACTTATAAGGCAACTGAACGCTATTTTGGAGGCCCCATCCTGTAGTGCGGTTGTCTTGAAATGGGGATGAACCGGCCAAAATGTTCTCCATGCTCATGGGGATTTTGATCGTCGCTATCCACTAAGATCGTCATGTTCTCTTGGGAATAATGTCAACCCCTGATTAACAAACCATGGTTTATTAATTAGGGGGGTACTACTCCAATAGTCATAATCTAAGACTTAAATGGTACCCTCCCAATTAAACAGCCCAGGGGTTTATTAATCCAGGGTTGACATTAGATGGGAAAACACCAACACATCATTTTGAGACACTATAAATAGGAATCTTCCAGCAGTGGCTATACTCTTCATATCTCTTCATACTGGCAAAAAATGGGCGTTTTATTGCAGCTGGATGCGGAGTTTTGCCATTTTACCAAGCAGGATGATGGATTTGCAGCACTCTTCCTGTCTGTGATATCCCCACTTCTTATTTCCAATTTCTGCCTGTTGCTTTGGCATGACTCTTTTTGCCTTTTGTTTCCACGTTTCTTTTCTTTTTATCTCCAGCCATCCACAGAATGAAGACAAATCGGGACATTTGTTGTATCTCGGTAGGAGTAGGAAAAAAAAACATGGAAGTCCGAAGATCATCATTATCTATTTCTGTTCAAGCTGTTTGCATGAAACTGTATCCTGTAATGAAGTTCCAGATTCATCCAGATTCATCCAAATTCATCGAAATTCCCAGTTTTGCAAAAGGAAAAATCCTAAAATCATCCCAAAGCTCCGGATGTTCCGGGATTTCTTCGGCGCCAACAAAGTCGCGCCCTGGTTTCGCAGGACGCTGGTAGATCTGCGCAGGACTACTTCGTAGTAGATCTGCCGTTGACACCCGAGCGCATACGTATGGCGGCTGGGCTGGAACAGGATGTCTTTTTCGCATGGTGGATCCACATGGATCCATCTCCAATGACTTACCCGGCCTGGTAAACTAACGGTGATTTAATGGTGATTTTTAATGGGAGTTAGTGGGATTTACTGGTAATTTAATGGGATTTACCCGGCCTGGTAAACGTTTACAGTTAGCTATTGAAAATGGCAATTTACTTCGGGAGTTTTCCCATTAATAGCATGGTGCTTTTCCATAGTTATGTAAACGTTTACCAGAGGGTACCATGTTTATGGTATATGAAGCATGAAAATTTCTCGGAATGTGGTGGATGAGGTAAAGCTATTTGATATTTCAACTAGGCTGGTTTATGGGTACCGGTCAGGATATGGAATTCTACTACTTGATTTATTGGTGAACAGGTGTATTGTAATTATCCCATAGGTTTTGGTAAATTATGGTGACTTCAGTTGATGACCTCACGTGGTGACCTCACTGGAAGCCGCAAGGGTTAGTGAAATATGTTTTACCCGGAATTATCCATTGTCCATTATTAGCCCGCTATTATACACCTTTCTATATCCCATGATTATCGGGTAAATTCACATTTTTCGGTGATCATGACAGTGACATGTGGTAAAGCCAATAGAAACTGGAGATGACGGTTGAAATATGGGATAGTTCTGCGATAGTTATGATAAATATTGAAGGTGATGACAGCAATAGTCCAAGGATCATGGGATGTAAAAGGACATTAATAGGAGAATACGGATTGATATAGGAAAATAGATATACAGTATAATGATGGATATATGATATGCCCTCTAGTAATCAAACGTGGCTGGGAAATCCTGAACTAAATGGAGGTTGAGTTCGCTGGGGACATCTTCCATTGCCACGTTACGACGGATGGTATTTCAAGGGATTGCCCTGCCATCAGTCCTGGGAAGATTCGCTTCCACTAAACATTGGTTATTTTCAGGGTCGAACTGTGCATTGGGGGAGGGTTTATTTTTCTAGCTGACCATATGAGACCCAACCAGGTTATACACTTGGCTTATACTGAATTATCATCATCAAAATCACTTTTGTTTAACAAATAATATAGCAAATTCTAGTACGCCTGGCTTTAAAGCAGAAAAACTAAAAAATCATCTGGGGACATCTTCATCATGCGGATTGTTTGGGGTGGCTCTGGTAGCGGTGATGGGGAATATTGATCAAAAATATATTCATCAGATTCGTATTGATCTGGTAGCTACCCTCTGGTTATTTAACGTAGCCATAGAAAATCACCATTTTTAATAGGTAAACCATCTATAAATGGGCCGTCTATACCATGGCTATGTTAAATAACCAAATGGTAATGTGTTTTTTTAATCTTCTGGATTCTGGATACGAAGAATGGGAGAGATACTTTCTATGGTACATCCGATCATCCGGCTGAATCATGGGGTGATAAATTCTACTCATCTGGAGAAATTTTAGCACACATTGATAGCGAAACATCCTTTCTAGATTAATGGATATTTATATGATATATTACTGGGATATTCTTATATATAATCAACTATGATCGGGATAAAATGGGGGGTCGATAAAGATGCGTGCACCAAGCGTTTGTTGGGGATTTTACCAGCCAGTATAGTTGGGAATATAGCCAACATATTTCCGTAAAATAATCCAGAATGGCTATGTTTCATGTTCAGAAAAAACCATTTCATAGGGATTGAACCCAGAACTTATATATTTGGATAAATTACGAGATGACCCAGAACGTCTTCCCGTCACTAGAAATGATAAGATTTGCAAGGGGGATCATTTTTAAATGGCTGAATTCTTCAGGTTGGTTATTCATTGTAATTCACCTAGATACATGGAGGATGTTCCACTGGCATGTTTGTTGCACTGAGTGTAGTCTTTTTATAGGAGGCTATGTCAGAAAAACATGCGTTGGCTTCCCATATCTTGAAAGAACCAGGAAAGTGCCAGTTTTTCTACAAGGATAGAAGTTCAAGATTCTTATTCCTGAAGATGTTTATTCCTAGGAACATGTTCGCTGCAAACCCTACGTTTGACCATCACCGTCACCACGACCATGACCATGACCATGACCATCATCATCATCATCATCATCATCTCATCGTTATATTGGCGACCCTCATGAAGATAAGTGGCAACTAGTAAACCATTCAACATATTTGTTCAGAAGGGTGGGGGAGTTGATCCCTTGCGAAGATTAGATTCCCCTAGTAGAAAGCGCCCCTATTAAACTCATGGATGTCTAAGTCAGATATCAGGATTGGTTGAAAGCAGCAGGCCACAGTCCTTACTTGTGTCGCAAGAGAGTAGAGTAGCGGGAGCAGGCTGTCACGAGGGATGCACGGTCTCGGGCAAAAAGACCGTCTTGCACCCACTGCCAGACAGAGTCTGGCAGTCTACCAGGCTGCCTGCTTTGAGCCATCCTTCTCTGCATGACTCATGTACTTGACCGTTGGTCTTTGTTGAACATGTGTGATTGGAGGGTGTAGATCATGTTTGATTTAGATAGTAGAGGAGAGATCTTGTGGGTTATGGTCGCCAACATGTTTTGACACCTTATGCAGCTTCAGGGGAAGCTGTCACATGGAGCTTCAGCTGTACCGAAGTAGGGCTTTTCCACTTGGCAATTTGGATGATGCTGTCACTTAGCTTAAGGGTAAACTAGTATAGATGTGGAAAACCCATGGTTTCCTTGAAAAAAATCGCCTACAATTTTTTGGGTGTTCCACCTCTATTTTGGTCTGCAAGGGGTACCTCTTTGGGGCATGTGATCTAACAGTTTTGCAGATCCAATCAAGGCAGCTCTTGAACTGGAGACCACACAAAAAGCAACAGTAGAATTCTACCTATAGTCGCCCTAGCCCAGACTCCAGATTGGTACAACGTGGGCCCCCCAGATTTTAAGCTGGTCTACAAACCACATTAGCCATCAATCATTAAGCGCAGTTAAAAATATCATAAACCATCACTCGAATTATTAACCAACTTAGCTATCTAGAGGGTTCCACCTTGTATGATTCAAATGAATTTGCGATGTGTTCAAACCACAAGTCACCTGTGGGCCTTGCCGCAACGTGTGCTTCCATACTGGGATGATTCCCAAAATTCCTAACGGCACAAAGCGGAGCCCCAGTTATAAGTGCTTTACTTTCACTCATTAACTGTATTTGTAAAAATGATTCGCCATAAATCCGTATAAATTCCACTTAGAAGTTGTAAACCTACTTGCCTATTTCGGGGAGGCCCGTAGAGCACCAAAAAATCCCATGATAATTTTTGGGCTTCCTTGGTAAAGCAAGCACAATTACTGGCCACTTCTCAAACAAGATCACCCCAGGATAGGCTACAATCTATTATAATCTAATGAACATGATAGAAAGGACTAGAATACACAGTAGAAAGGACTAGAATACACAGAACACCCACCACCAGTTGGATGGACACGTTCCAGATTTTGAAGCCTTGATTTTTGAGCCAGGGTCGCCCTGCATAAATTCCAAGGGTGTCTCTTCGTTTGGCCCCACATGCTCCAGACTTGGTTTGCTTATGTCTGTTTTATGTTTTGTTTTATGTTTGCTTGAGATTTGCACGATCTCACGGGTTTGATGTGAGGGGCAGCAACCCCGCAAATGGCAATCTTACGTAAAGCACAGCTAGCCAGTGACGCACGTACTGCCACGCACTGCCATGCACCCAGTGTCCAAGGACTAAGGGAGGTTCTCAGGGCACAAGCTCAGCTTCGAGCCAGTTTGGCGAAGACTTTCCTATCGAAAATGTTGACTTTTCAAGGTTCCACGGACTTTTCTGAAAATAGGACACCTTTAACCCACTGGTCAAGCTTCATTTGTTCACTTTGAACGGCCGCTTTGGGGCACACCACATGGTTCTACATTGCGAATTTCATTGTTTTGGATAAATTGCAACGACCTCGCGTCATTGTAGAAATTTGTTTTTGATCCAGTCTGTTTGGACTGAACATAAAACGTTGTTGCTTCTATCCCACGATATTCCATCTATCTCCCCAAAAACTGGCGGGTTGTAAACCCCACTCGCTGTTGGCAGGCCCCAATGTAGAATTTCATTGAGATAAAACTCAGGTTCCCTTGCGCGCCAAGGCCTGCAACGATGCCTTGTCCTCACGCTTCAGCAAGAACACCAGTCGTAAGGATGCCCAGCCGGAACTGCCCCCAGTCGTGGGGTGAATCAAACATCACGGACATGCTGATGGTTTACACCCCCCAAGGAAATTCAAGGTGCCCAGACTTAGGACGAATCTTTGTCATTGATTCAGCCTTGTTATTTCCGAAATTGCCCGAATAATTGCCCCACGAATGAAAAATGCTGACGCTGCCGTCTTGGAGGTCCAAGACCCAGTATCTTCGTTTAGGAGGCGCGAGCCGTTGCCAAGAAGCACGGTTTTGATAATATTTGGTGTGATGTGTTTGAAAACCACTGGTTGGAGCTATGGCGCAGCCATGGAAAATGGATGAACAAGAAAGAATGTGATAAACACGTGATGCTAGCCATGCAAAAAATAGTTTTAATCAATGAACAATGGATTTGGTTAATTAGTTTAACCATTTAACCAACATTCATGCAGGTGTAAAACAAACCAAGAAAGGAACATATATCATATATATGAATGGGACAATACGGGGACAGACTGGATAGAACCAACAAAACGATGCTTGGGCTTGTCGGTTTGTCCGAAAATTGAGGGATTCCCCCATCAATGTGCAAAATGTTCTAAAGAACCACCGGATTTGGGGTCTCGATGATCTACCACTTGAAGAGTTCTTGTGCTCCCAACAGCAATTAAGCAATGTCACTAAGCAAAACGGGGATAAACCCGCAATTCAGTAGTTCTTCCCGTCATGAGCAGTTGTTTCAACCAACATTCAAGATACGTTGTATCTCCAGCTCAAACGAACACAGGGGTCATGACACCAACGATGTTGCCTGATCAATGGGATGAGAATGCACGACTACTGGTGCGAACGATTTTCCTGTTTTCGTGCGTGGCATCGTCAAAAGATCATCCGATAAAATTGGAACGATACAGAGAAGATTAGCATGGCCCCTGCGCAAGGATGACACGCACAAATCGAGAAGTGTAACAAGTTTTAAATGCACTGACCCCACCACCAGGGTCCGGGGCTGTGTCATTATGGACCTCTGAGTTCATGCGAGAGTCGGGTCAAAAGATGAATTGTATATTATTATAATATAGTTAGCTATGTTAGGGGGATGGTCATCAATCCATTCATGGCATTTTCAGGATGGGGATGGATGATAATGTTACCACGTTTTTGACCATGACACATGTGAATAAAACAGCCTCATGGTTTCGATCTAAAGCCATTAAGGTTCAAGAATGACAAATATACAGAGTTTGTGATACGACTGATATCTGGTGGTTTGTGTGTGTGTGGGTGTGGGTGTGTGTGGGTGTGTGTGTGTGTGGGTGTGTGTGTGTGGGTGTGTGTGTGTGGGTGTGTGTGTGTGGGTGTGTGTGTGTGTGGGTGTGTGTGTGTTTTTTTTGCTCACACTCCTTTTCGACTGCAAGGTTCGTGCCAGCCATCGGCTTATGCCGGTTCCAAGTGTTTTGGAATCAGTGTGGCTGAAACCCAATTGCCAGGCCTTATGTACACTTCTCGATTTGTGCACTGCAGGCATATCCATCGTGGAAAAAGAAAACGTCTCTGGAAAAATAAAATCGCTGTCATTGCTTCGTGCTGGATGGCGCAGTTTCATCGGAAGGCAACAGAGGTCCGGTTTGCCCCAGCAATGTCAGTATCTGGGTAGCCAGGTCAGCTGGTGGTGAGTTCTGGTTTGCTCGAGGCACATAAAATGGAATCTGAATGCAGTCCGCTCTGATGAGCCATATCACTGTCAGATTTTCACGAAAACCAGGTGGGATGTCCCAACAGGCCAATGGAGGCATGTTGTCCTGGGTCAGTAACCATTTCACTGGATGTGCAGACAGCACCGTGGGCTGAATCTTCAGGAGTGCCTGATAATGGCCGGCCTGATCAGCGCCCTGGTGTGATGCTGCTGCAACCGGAATATAGTTCACTGTTTCGCATTTAGTGTCTCGTGCAAGAAAGAAAGGGATCATGGCCTCTGTGTCCAAGTCTACTGCACAACTGCATTTCTCGATCTGGCCAGGTGCGGATTCAATCATTCTGTCAATGTGCAAACATACTATGGGCGCCGCTTGGAGCATTGCGGCACGCATGCCATTTGCCTGATGCCAAAAGCGGATCAGGTCATCAATTTTGCAAGCATCCATGGTGTGCGTGCTGGGTGGAAACTGCAAAAAAACTGGCATGCATGTGTGGCTCTGGTCATGGCACTGTGCAGTCTCAGCAAGTTCAAATCTGCGCTCCCATTTCAGGTCGATGTCAGGTGAGTCAAGCCATAGTATGGCTGCTCGCACAAACTCACTGCAATCCTGCTGGGCTTGTGTGAAACCCCAAGTTTCAAGCAACTGAACAAACCATGGGTAATGGGTCAGCATGAGAGATGTGTCTTTGCTATCAAGAATGAACTGCATCAGTGGCTTGAAGTGCGGCCCCCATGAAAAAACCTCACAAGTGTTCAGGCTCAAGAGAGTCCAGAGCAGGCCATACATTGTCGTGTTGGCATAGCACCAGTTGGTATCATTGCGCAAGGTCATGTGTGACACCAGCATGCGTAGCTCATGGATCTTTTCAGGAGTCAGCTCTCCTGTGTCTTCTTGCCCTTGGTCCGAGATTTCCCCATCCCTTTGCTCTTGCCATGCAGGGGAAGAAGTTGTTGAACCTGCTTTGCTAAGCCGCTCTGTTGCATCGAGTGCACCTTCAGGGAAGTGCCCGCCAGAAGCCAAACTGACGAATGTGTCAGCTCCCTCATCAGGTCGTAGGGGCGGTTGCTGCGTAGGTTCAGCTGAAGCTTCCAAGGTACCGTTGCCTGAGCATGGCTGGTGCTCAGTCCTTGAAAACGGACCACTAATGTCGGATCTCTGAACTCCTCTATGAGTTCCTGCAGATGCTCCAGCATTTTGGGCATTGTCACTGCCTTCTTCTTGTCCACCGCCAGGCTCTTCTTGGTGGGGTCCCACCGCAGAAAGGGCCAGCTCATGTCCTCCAAAATCAGGTTGCGGTCTCTGCAAGCCTGGAACAAGACCTCCCCTGGCTTGCTCTTGGAGACCTTCGTCGTTCTGTTCAGTAGATCCTGTAGGAGGTGTTGGCATAGGTGTTGGCGCAGCGTGGTGGTCATGCCCATGGGATTCGATTGTCTCTGCTGGTGCCACTCTTGGGTCGCTGTCAAGAGTCCGTGGAGAGCGCTCTCCTGGTCTTGCTGGAAGAACAGAATGAAACAATCTGTGCTTTGCAGCAGATTCCAGTTGTGCTCGTGTCGGAGCGTCAGCTGCCCCAGCACCTGGAGGTATTTGAGCAGCTGTTGAGGTCCTTGGCCTTGCTGATCTTGATCGGCTGGATCGCCCTGAGTGGTGGTGTCCATCCGTCGTGATTTCTGAGGCTTTGGGTTCGGCTGCAGCTTGAGTGACTTGTCCAAGAGAGGCGTCAAGAACTGATAGGTCTCTCGGATTTGAGCAAGGGCGCTCTCGTCCCATCCATTCATCACCGAGTCGCCCTCCATTAAGGGCAGTGCCCAAGAGCAAGAGGCACTGTAGCGCCACAGGACAATTGCCACGCAAGTGAGTTTGGACCAGTTCGAGTCTGCTATTGTCAACAGGCTGCGCAGGATCAGGCGGAGGCAGGTTGAAAATTTGCAAGCAGAGATCACACTGAAAATCATTGCTGAGCTGGGCTTGCATGAGTGGCAACAAGGTCGTGCAGTAAAAGTCAATGAACTGGTGACCAGTCAAATGTGCCTCATGTAAATGGCGGTTCAGCAATCCAGTGTGGTGCGTCTGGCCACAGATCACGCAAGCATTTCGAAGCATGTCCAAGGCCTCAGGGTTGGTCCACAGGGCAGGAAAATCTCGATTGGCAAAAATCTGAGTCAAAATGAAACGCTTGTCTCTGGGAATGGATGGATGGGCAATGTGTGTCAGGGCCTGTTCAGTGATTTGCACTGGCATGAATGTGGCAGGCTCCATGCGGCAAAAGGCCATGGCAATCTGCCTCAGCGGCAGGCATATATGATTGTTCCGTATCTGGTTGATTTGCGGGTTGCACATGCAGCCATGTCTGGCAAAAACAAGCTCGACCATCAAAAGAGTCAGTCCCTGGGCTTGCCTCCACAAACGGGAGTGATTGGACATCAGGTGGTTGGCAAGGTCACAGGCTCGTTTGTAGGCCTGTGAGCAGTGCAAACAACGCAAGGTCAAATGGAGTCGTGTCATTGGGGCCCGAAGCTGCTGGAGAAGTTGTCCATGCAGGCAAATGTCAATCATGGCCTGGGTGATGGGCCTGGTCTCCGATGCTGCCATTGGATTAAACATTGGACAGCGTCCTTGGCATATGTGGCTGCGCAGGCTCTCCATCGAGGCATGCGGTGAGCCGCAGTGTGCGCATGCAGCCTGGGAGTCCAGGCAATCTCTGGCAGCATTGAAAGTGAGTCCAGCCAATCTATGCTTTGTCTGCAAATGCTGTGTCAACTGAGCAGCATCAGGGAACATCTCAAGGCAGATATCGCATCGTTGAGCTAGGTCAGGTTGCAAATCTCTGTCAGAGATCACAAGGCCTCCGCCGTGTAGCATCATGATGGATATTTGTGTCCAGACCAAACACTTGTGTGTGCGGAAAGGGCTCCCGCATTGCGCACATGGTGTGTCAGTGCTGTGTAGATTTGTCAGAACTATGGACTTCTGAGGAACGTGGGTCCAAAACTCAGCATGTTCTGTTTTGAAATGAAGATGAGCGTCCTGCGCTCGGTGCACTTGTTGTCCACACAGAAAGCAGCAGCGCGACAAATAGCGGCAGGCCTCATGTTCATTGGCTAAACGGTCCAGAGTATCATCTGCAATCAACTTCAAGACACGGTCGCCCCAAGGTTGTTGTCTCAGGAGTGCAAGGTCAGCTTCCGACAGGAGCTTGCTACCCCTGAGTGCAATGCTGGTGTCAGCAGGCGCTGGGTGATGTGTCATCCCAGTCGATGTTCCCACGCACGAAGGTGGGCCCAATTGGATCGCCTGGCAGCCGCGTTCAAGGTGGATTTTAAATGTTCGCCAGGTGGTGAACTTGAATCCACAATGTTTGCATTGGGGCAAACCATCAATGGCATGTTGTGCAACAATTGTGTTATGGGTCCTAAACATCTTGATGCCATGCTGGAGGGCGCAATGCCGTCTGAAAGCTGATACATCATTGGTGTCAAAAGGACACAATCTGCAGTGATATGCAAAATCAGTGCCAGGAACCTCGCCAGAGAGAGCAGTCTCAGCACGCAATGTCAAAAGGGTGGCCTGAGCAGTGTCAATCATCTGTCGCAGGGCTAACAGGTGATGCCAGTTGACATTGCGGGCAATGTCGCTGGTCTGCATGATCAATTGTCTCTGGGCGACTGACTGCAAGAGTGAGTCAGCAGCAGTGATCAGCACATCCGCAGGGCGCAGCAAGGAATAATGTTGAAAAACAAAATCGTTGGTATGGCCTGTGTGGTGTGCATGGTCTCTAGCAATCAGTCTGGTCATCTTGCCAAGTTGTACAAGCATATGCTGAATGCCTTTGGGTGTGGTGCCAACCGCAAAAACTCCATATGTCATGATAGGTACTATGCAAGTGCGCCACAATTGATATCTGTGCTTCAGTGGAAAAAGATGATTGCTGCAGAGCCATTTGCGCAGGCGTTGGAATCCAATCATTGCCAACTTGACTCTATGCCAGGTGGTGGAATCTTCAAACGGGCCATAGCTCATGTAGCATCCAAGATATGTCGCCTGTGTCTGTAATGGAATCTGCATGTGTGCGCCGGACGGCATGGGGATTTTTAACTTCACGCCGTGTTGGTCTTTGTGCAAAAGCTGAGCACGCTTCTGTCGGCTCTTTGGTCCATGCATCACAAGAAGTGCCACAGATTTCTGAGGGTTCAGGGATAAATCAAAGTCATGAAGGGTCTGAAAAAGGATGCCGATGGCCTTGAGGAGGAAATCAAGCTCAGTCATGTTGGTGAATAAACCCCCGATATGACAGTCGTCAGCGTATATGGCGAGATGATCACAAATCCAAGTGTATGGCAAATGGTGTTGGAGTTCGTGCAACATCAAAACCATAAGGCTGTTCCATAAAAACGGCGCACCCTTACACCCTTGTCTCAGTCCCTTCTGCACTGCGATAGGAATGCTCTCACCATCATGAGAAACAAAGTATGCAGTGTCCACATGCCAGCTCTGCAGGATGCGGGTGATGTTGGTGTCAATCCCTAATGTGGACAGCTTTGCAAAAAGTTTGACCCTATTAACACTGTCGAATGCTCTTTCCAGATCCACAAAGACCTGGAGCCCACCGCATATAGGCATGCGGGGGAGTTGCATGGCCCTGGAGTGTGGTGTCGATCTTTGGGATTGGACCAACAATCGAGCCGCCCGGCAGTGCCAGGCAACTTTGGCCAGCGGGTCTTGCGTGGAGCGGTGGGCCAAAAAGGCCCAAATGGGCCACTTCCGAAACTCCATGTCAGCTTGCCTAGAGGCCATTTGGATAAGCAGGCCCATGACAGCCTTGCCCAGGGGGCACATCATCGCTAATGGTCTGAGGTTGGCAGGTCTAACAGGGGGTTTATTGGGTTTAGGGATTAACTGGAGCCAACCAGAACGCCATGAAAACGGGATCCATGGGGTGTCATAGTTCCACCATCTAGTCAAAATGGCATGCAATACTGGGGCAATCAGGTCTGCTGTGGAGTTCCAGGTCGGCCCCGGAGCACATGGTGCCGCAACAGCTTTCCCGGTGGGAATCAGTTTCAATGCAGCCACAAGGTCCTGGATGGTGAAAGGCACGCCAGTGGGTGGCCCGGGTGTTGGCATGGTCAGTGGTTCTCCCTTCCAGGTGTCACGAACAAAGGCTACAAGCATGCTTCTTTCTTCTGATGGGGTGATGAGATGTCCCAGCTCATTACGCAGTTGGAGCCTTCTTTTTGTGGTTTTAGGAGAATGTCGGTTGATGAGATCAAACAGCCTGTGCGTATCATGCGCAGTGGCAGCTTTTGTGGCCTCTTGCAGGAGCTCTTGGAACTTCATGCGTCTCAGGTTGTTGGCAAACCTACGTTGGTGGCGGTTGAGAGCAAGAAACCGACACACATGATACCATGCACGGAAAAAGGCTGCCTTGGAAAGGTCTCGGATTTGTTGCAAAATTTTGCGATGTGTCCATTTATTGGTGATCACAGGATTAGACTGCCATGGTGATGGTCTGATTGCAGCACTTGCGGCAGGAAAAAACTGTGAAAAATGATGTAAAGCATGATCATGTACTGTGATGAGGTCATCAGCTTCTGAGGTCAGGACCTGGGTCAGGTGGTGGCACAAGTCTGGGGCGACAGTTGCCACATAGTTCTGCCATGCAGTGCTGTTAGTCATCTTGGCAATGCGTCCCTGCAGTTTTTGATGGGGCGTCAAGCCAGTCAGCTGTGAAGTGGGTGGAATCCAGTACATAGCAACATGGCCTATGAGAACAGCATGCCCCGCCTGTGCAAGTGGCTGAAATGGTGCATCCCAGAGGCACTGGGTGTCTTTGGCTTTGCCATCAGCAAACTGCTTGCGGGTGCAAAAGTAGTCAATGCGGCTAGTCCCACCTGTTGAAACGAAAGTGGGGCCAGTGCTGGAGTTCCACGTGTTCAGAGCTACAATCCCATGCTTTTTCAAGACAGTCAGGAATCGGTTGGAATCTGGGTGCGTAGTTCCAGGTATGGTCTTACCTTGCCAGCGGTAACGTGCATTGCCGCAGATTCCAGTCGCAGCTTGCAGGCTGCAATTCAGATCTCCCAACAGAGCAAGTGTATTCCTTGCCGGGAGCTGCGTCAAAAGGCTGTCTAGAGCCATCCAAAACTGCTCTCGGTGTTGCAAGCAGGCTTTATCTCTGGTGAACACATGTTGGTAACATCCAACGATGTCAATGTTCCGTGTTGTCTGCATGAGGCGGACGTGAACTAGTCTTCCTGGGACAAGTTCGTTCCATCTGAGGTCTGCTGCGTTGCAAAGTCGCTTGGCAACCAGAATTAGTACACCTGATCCACGGTTAGTTTGGTCAGCACTGTGGATGTGGTGCCATTCTTGATCGCTCCAGGTGGATTGGAAGGACCATCTCGTTTCAGAGATGACTGCAACTTGGATCTTCTGCATATGAAGCCAAAATTTTAGCTCATCCAACCTATGGCTCGCAAGTCCCCCCCCATTCCAAGCAGCACACAGCAGGCGTCTCTTGGGTGCATTATGATGATGGCACTGGGTGACATCAGGTGGCTTGGGCTTTGGCAGGTCAGTTGTGATGGGTTTCATGCCCATGCGCAGGAAATCTTGAGCAGTCATGCAACGGCCTCTGTACCAGGTCATGCCTTGGGCATGTGCCCGTCTTTGAGCACGGTGCAAGCTTCTTTTAACTACTTTAGGATGTGGCTTGGGTTTCGGCTCCATTTGTGCGCAGGTGCGCATTGGTGGCTGCGGTCCATGTAGCTTTGCGTCATTCACTGTTGAAAGAGAAGAGGATGGCCATGACGCTTCAGCACCCCCCATGGTAAGGGTGCAACCCTCGCCCCTGTTGGCACCAGGAAAAAAAGGATAGCTAAGCATCACTGCACAGCAGAGAAAGCTGAGGTGCCAGTGCCAACGTCTGGATTTGGGACCAGACTTGCGGCTTTGTCTGTGGGAGCCAGCAAAACTGTGAACGCAGAATCGTGCCGTGCCTGTGGGTCTGGAATACTCAAATGCCCGATGCTGAAAAATCCTCTCAAACCAGAATCGAAAAATCACAAATACAAGAGCAAGCAGCAAACAAAATTGTGGAAGTCGTCTGTTGATGTCAATGAATGAGAAATTAATGTAATCCGTGCTGTCGCATTCAGCAAGGATACCACTCAAAAAGGCCAGTGAGACAATGAAAAGGGAGCCAACCTCAGTGAAATGATTTGCAATCCAACTGATTGCCACCGTCAGCAGGAAAAGGAGACAAATTTGGAAAAGTTCAGAACGGATTGGGCAGTTTGGTGTCACAATCAGCGGTCCGAAAGCCAGGCTAGCCACTTGCTTCGAGTGCCACTGTAACCTGTGATGCCAGGGTTGCCACAATAAAGTGCAATCAGGATTGACTGTATCTCTACCGAGCAGTAAGAAATTGGCAGAATATTGACAAGGGAAAAAGGTCAAATTCTGCGGTCTCTCGCAGGCCGGGGAAAAATCAGTGTATGGAACCCCACTGCAGAAGGTATGTTGAGCAGTCACTGTGTTGGAAAAAGCGCCAGTCTTGTCGTGTCCAAAAAAAGGTTCCGTCGGGCCAGAGTCAATGAGGAGCCCACCCTCGAACTGCTTTGAATCAGTGTAAGAAACCCCACTGCAGAAGGTATGGTGTTCAATCGCTGAATTGAAAAAATCGCCTGGCTTGTCGTGTCCAAGAAATGGGTCCCTCTGGTCGGAGTCAATGAGGAGGCCACTCTCAAGCTGCGTTGGATCAGTGTTTGAAACCCCACTGCAGAAGGTATATTGTTCAAACGCTGAATTGGGGGAAAACCCTGTCTGGTCGTGCCCCAAAAATGATTCCGTCAGGCCAGAGTCAAGGAGGAGCCCACCCTCTGTCTGTTGCAGGTCAGTGTGAGAAACCCCACTGCAGAAGGTATGTTGACCAATCGCGGTATTGTAAAAAACACCTGGCTGGTCGTGTCCGAGAAATGATTCCGTCGGGCCAGAGACAAGGAGGAGCCCACCCTCAAACTGCGTAGAATCAGTGTATGAAACCCCACTGCAGAAGGTAAGTTGTCCGATCGCTGAATTGGAAAAATCACCTGTCGTGTCGTGACCAGGAAATATATCAGTCGGGCCAGGGGCTAAGAAGAGCCCGCCCTCAATCTGCGTTGAATCAGTGTAAGGAACCCCACTGCAGAAGGTATGTGTTGCAAACGCAGGATAGGGAAAAACCCCTGTCTTGTCGTGTCCAAATAAAAATTCCGTCGGGCCAAAGTCAAGGAGGAGCCCACCCTCAGTCTGGTGCAGGTCTGTGTGAGTGTCCCCACTGCAGAAGGTGTTGGGGGTCTCCTTTGATTGCAAAGAAACTTCGCCACCAAAAACTGGTACGCAAGACCACGGGCCAGTGACAAGGAGGAGCCCACCCTCAAACTGCGTTAAATCAGTGTGAGAAACCCCACTGCAGAAGGTATAGTTCCGTACAGGAAGAGCCAAATGAAGTGTTGGTTCAAAAACTGCTTGCGAGGCTTCCAATATGGTGTCAATTGGTCCGTTTACCGAAGAAATGAATAAATCAGGCTCAGTTGTTTTCCAATCCAGTGAAACGGGGGAGAAGCCGCTGTGTTGTTCAAATGTTATCCAAAAAGGGTCAGCCCCACCGCAGAAGGCTCCTGTGTGTGTGTGTGTGTGTGGGTGTGTGTGTGTGTGGGTGTGTGTGTGTGGGTGTGTGTGTGTGGGTGTG